TTAAATTAAAATTTATGTTTAAGAAGAAAACCAGGAAACTTTCCCAAATTTTCTGTACCTTAAAGAGCCAGCAACTAAAGGAGTTTTTTGTTTTGTTTTGCTTTTTAGAATCAGGGATAAGAAAGGAAGAGAACTAACAGCTACTGAAGGCCACTGCATGTAGCATTCCATTGTTTACAGTACACATACAGTGAACCTGTGAGGTAGTTAGAGCTCAGAGCATTAATCCACTCATGGCCTAACACTACTTGAATTTCATAACTGAGGTTCAAGACCAGGTCAGACTTAAACCGAAGTCTCGGTGTTTTCTTCCACACCTGGCTACCTCTATGAAAACGGTAGAAGTTCGGCTTCTATCATTCGGATTTTAGTTACATTCAGGAACCACCCCCCACCCCGCTTTTTCTTTTAAGATTTTTTTGATGTGGACCATTTTTAAAGTCTTTGTTGAATTTGTTACAATATTGCTTCTGTTTTATGTTTGGGTTTTATGGCCACAAGGCATGTGGGATCTCAGCTCCCCGATCAGAGATCAAACCCGCACCCCCTGCATTGGAAGGCGAAGTCTTAACCACTGGACTGCCAGGGAAGTCCCCCATTCAGACCCTTTGGATTTAAGAACTTTGCCTATTAATATGTCATAAGCCAAGATGGCAGAAAAGCATGAAGGCCTGTCTGTTTCCATATGGACACTGTGATACTGTGACACACTGTGACACTTTCCTATAAAAGGTATTTAGAATAATGTGTTATAAACTATTTAAGATATGTGTATTAGATTAATCTAAAGACAGTTACCAAGTCCCAGTATATTGCTTTACTGGCAGTTTAACTGGTTCTTGCACGTCACCACTAACTTTTCAGGGACAAAGTGCTCTGACAATCAGAGTCTGATGAAGTTGGGCAGAGACCACAGTTTGGGGAACTGACTAACCCACCCCACATCCACTTTCAAAAGCAGCTCACATTTCAGAATCACCATTACAGAAAGAATTAATCTTATACTTAGTATATATCAAATAAGTAAGGGAACAGTACATAAAACGTCAAGGATACGGTCTACAATTAACAACCCGAAGTTCCACAGCAGTAATACTGATAGAATGAACTTTGGCTTCTCTGTAAGTTCTCTGCCTGCTTTTTTCCCATCAATGCATTTACAGCACCTATATTGGAACATGAGGAAAGAATCAGAAACAAATTTAATCTTCATTAGAACATCATAATACTTCTACAGAGTACACTCTGATATACTCCGATGTGTTTGATTAGCCATTCCTGATAAAGTGTCCATGCCATTCTTTTTTTTTTTTAATGTGGAACTATTTTATTTTGAAAATGATGATTAAAAAGTGACACTGAGGCTGAATAGCAGTCAGAAAACCCAGGTTTATATCAACCTAAATATGAAGAAAAAAAAAGGAAGAAAGAGATGGAGGAATGAAGGAGAGAAAGGATGAAGGAAATGAAGCTAGTATTTATGGAGTACTCAGTGCACACTAGATGCTTTCATTCAGAGTATTAAATTTACTTCTCAAGGACCATGGGAGGTTTTTTTTAAAAAAGGAGGAAAGGGACTCCAAGAGAATTTCTTGTAGTCCTTCAATATGACTGCACCCAAAACACAGCTCTAATGTTGCCAATTATTAATAGGGAGGAAAAAGAAAGGTGATGGAGTCCAGTTCTGGTGATGCTGACAATTTTCCAATTAAGGTGCCCTTAAGTGTCACCTCTCCCAAGAAATTCCAGTGGGTTGGAAAAATTTTAGTTGCTTCCCTGTCAGTTTATTAGATTAGACACAGGGATTGGGGTGTCCATGCCATTCTTGACTGTTTAAAAAGGTGGTAGCAGAAAGAAAGGCCTCAGGGCCAGTTCCACGTCTCTTTCTCAGCTATGCTGATTTGAAACAAAAGTCTTCATTTTTTCTTTTTTTTGAAAACAAAGTCTTCATTTAATAAAGCAAACAAACAATAAAACCATCCACCAAAAACCCAAATGTAAGGATTTTGAAAATTGAGAGGGCACACACTATTTTAGTCCTTAAAACTAAAAAATGCAGACCAGAATGATATAGCACTCCATATTATATATTACGATACCAGCCAAGTTAAGAATAGACCTGTGAAGACTTCCCTGGTGGTGCAGTGGTTAAGAATCTGCCTGCCAATGCAGGGGACACAGGTTCAACCCCTGGTCCAGGAAGATCCCACATGCCGTGGAGCAACTAAGGCTGTGTGCCACAACTACTGAGCCTATGCGCCACAACTACTGAAGCCCACGTGCTCTAGGGCCCACGTGCTGCAACTACTGAAGCCTGCGTGCCTAGAGCCCATGTACCACGACAAGAGGAGTCACTGCAATGAGAAGCCTGTGCACCGCAACGAAGAGTAGCCCCCTATCACAGCAACTAGAGAAAGTCTGTGTGAAGCAACAAAGACCCAACGCAGCCAAAAATAAATAAAATTTTTTTAAAAATATATTAAAAAAAGAATAGACCTGTGATAGTTTGGGAGAGGGTGGTGGAGGGAATTGAAAAAAAAAAAGAATAGAGCCACAAACCTGCAGCTCTTGATTGCCCAAATAATTTAAAAAACTCCTATGAAAAAATGTATGTTATTTAAAGGTAGAGATATTAAGTGACAATATCAGGTGACAAAACAGTATGATCCCATTTTTATTTTATAAAAATTAAATTCAGATACAGGAAAGAGGCTGAAATAATATGCAACAAAATGTTGATAGGGACAGCTGTAAGTGCAGGAGTATGGGTCATTTTTACTTTGTGTGTATGTATAATTGCTTTCTGTTTTCCAAAATTTTGACAATGAAAAGGATGTATTATTCTATAAAAAGATTTTTAAAAAATGTGTTTCATTTGAATATCAGCAAATTCTAAAACCAAAGAAATCTAAAACCAAAAGAAGACATAATAAAGATGCAATTAAGGGGCTTCCCTGGTGGCGCAGTGGTTGAGTCCGCCTGCCGATGCAGGGGACACGGGTTCGTGCCCCGGTCCGGGAAGATCCCACATGCTGCGGAGCGGCTGGACCCGTGAGCCATGGCCGCTGGGCCTGCGCGTCCGGAGCCTGTGCTCCGCAGCGGGAGAGGCCACAGCAGTGAGAGGCCCACGTACCGCAAAAAAAAAAAAAAAAAAAAAAAAAGATGCAATTAAATAGGGGTTAGCAAAAGGTGTCCTGCTTTTCCTTCATGGAGCCTCAGTTTCCTCATAAATAGAGATAGTAACCTTACAGGGTAATTGAGAAAATTAAGTAAGTTACTAATCTATACAAAGTGCCTTGTTCCAGATTTTTATTTACTTAACTGTTCCCTCTACATTGTAGATGGAAATGAATTCTACTCCCTCTCTCTGCCTGTATACACTTTCCCTGAGAGTGTGAATTTAAACATTTTGAGTTAAAAGGAGTACATTTACATATCATCTTCCCTTTCAACTCTTGCCAGGTCATAAAGAGAATGAAGGTCAGGGTGCCAAACAGCAGTTATTCCACGAAAATGAGCAGGGGTTAAAACATCCCCAAGGGAGTCTTTACTGAATGGGGCAAGAGTTCAGTCTAGAAGGCCTCACAAACAGAAATGATCTATTTATGACAAAGGTCATTGAATGGACACCAGTTATTGCTCTGTCACAATCACACCAGCAGGCTTAAGTCTTAGGACAGAATAGAAACCAACATTAACTGGGAAATCACTACTTGGAAGTCACTGTGCACAATATTCTACGTACGTGTATTCACCTACTTAAAAGTAACTTATAAGTAAAATATGTGAAACATAAAAATATAAACATAACTTAAAATTAGTGAAGAGTCTTCATGAAGGAAAGAATCCAGAGACTACAACTGAAAGCACTCAGTAAGATTTCTTGAGTTTACTACAATGGAAACTCCATTGGTGGTTAGCATTATGCGTATGTATGCATGAGTGTGCTGTGCTGTATGTAGGTATGTGTATCCCAAAGAACAGGGTAGGTCATGGTAGCCTCTGGTAGTCTGCTACAAGGAAGGAAAGAGAAGCATGTAGAGCCACTTTGGGCAGGAGAAACGGTCCTGGAACTCACTTGGGACTACTTTTCACAACATTCACAATCTCTTGTTCTACCTCTAACTTGTAACCCCACCTTAGCCCCCATTTTCTTCCACAAGATTCAGCTAGACTGCTTGCTGTAATTACTCATTGTGAAGTTTGAAACACAACCATTTTGGACTGTTCTAGCATTTGCTATTATATGAACTTTGTTTGCCCCAAATGAGGAACAATGCTATAATATTTCCTCAACACCTTCCACAGGAAATGACATTCTCAGACTTACTCATGGACAGCATACACAAAGAGTGTATCTGTAAAGATGACGGAAAATCTCTGGAAGAGTAAGGTCCTTGAGCTGCAGTAATTCAGATTACGGACATTCAGCATCTCTTGATCAAAATATTTGGCAACATGTGACAGGGCACACTCAAACCATGCAAAAAAGGGGGGGTAATCCAAGGTCCACTCTGAAGTTGCCTGTGGTAAAAATTGAAGATAGAACATATCCTAAGTAACTGAATAAATAAAGAAGGTGCAAAGGTTGGAAATTTTCATTCTCTCATCTTTAAAAAACACACATGATGAAATTATACTTAAAATATGCCATAAATAGAAAATTTTCTGTTAAGTCTGAGCAGAACACCAAAACATGTTTCCTAAGTTATTTAATACAGTCTTCAATTTCCTTAGAGTCAACTATACTTCACAAGAAGTTAATTTGAAAACTTTTAATAATAAACTTGGTTATGACATGGTTCTACTCATCTAAATATAAAAAGGAAGCTAAGGCATAACGAATGATTTACTAGCTTGAGTTCAAGATCTGTCCCAGAGATTCAATTTCCCTATCTGTAAAATGAGATATTGTGAGGACTAAATAAGTTAATACATATGAAATACGTTTATAAATGAAAAAATGCTACACTGATGCTACTTATCTTTTGTTCCACTAGGTCATGAGATCCTTGAGAGCAGAAACCACTCTGTCATTTCTGTATCCTGAGCATTTAGTAAGTTCCTGATATATTATATAATCATTAGTTAAATGAATGAATGGTCACTAATGATTAAATGAAAATATAGATCATATGAAAAACATATAAACTTTATATAAAAATATAAAGTATATAAACTTTATGATGCTATATTTTGTTGTTTTATTTCAGTTTCTGCATTCATACAAGGATGACAGTACCTAGTTCATGGGTTATTAAATTTTACATATAGGGCTTCCCTGGCGGCGCAGTGGTTGGGAAGCCGCCTGCCAATGCAGGGGACAGGGTTTGGGCCCTGGTCCGGGAGGATCGCACATGCCGCGGAGCAACTAAGCCCGTGCGCCACGGCTGCTGAGCCTGTGCTCTAGAGCCTGTGAGCCACGAATACCGAGCCTGAGTGCCACAACTACTCGAGCCCGCGTGCCTAGAGCCCATGCTCCGCAGCAGGAGAGGCCACTGCGATGAGAAGCCCGCGCACCACAGTGAAGAGTAGCCCCCTATTCCCACAACTGGAGAAAGCCTGTGCGCAGCAACGAAGACCCAGTGCAGCCAAAAATAAATAAACATTAAAAAAAAATTTTACATATATATATATATATATATATACACACACACACAGTATTGAACCAGATATAAACTAAGTATCAGTAAAAAGTGTTAATTGTTATCATTTAAAACATTATTACTATCCTCATAGCATGTCCCTAAAACTAAACCTGACCTTGCACCTAGAAGAGCTGAGACAGTAATAATCTCCCTACTCTGCATTTGTTGCTCTTTTCAATGGAAAACTCCTCTCCTTCTGGATGTGCACTAAGGGTTCACTAGGTACTAACTGAGTGCCCACAGGGACTACTATTTAGGGTCTCTCTATAGTATAAAATGAGGCAAGGGAGACTCAAACTACTTATTAGCTCTTTGTTCATGATAAGGATGAATGAAAACTTTAGGTCTCAATAAGAAGTAGCCTATTTACTCCCCCTGCAGGTATAAAATGCAAAGGCCAACCCAGAGGCTCTCTGTCTAGGGCACTCAGGCTACGAACCCACCCATTAAATTTTCCTTTATGAAAAGTTCCTTCTCTAATCCCAAATCTTCAATGTGGGGTGATGAGCCACTGAACTATGGAAAGAAAAATTAGAAATTCTATTTTTTACTCTTATCCTTCTTAATTTCTGTTTTTAAAAGTATATTAATAGGGCTTTGCCTTTATAATTTATAAAGACGTCTTGGGTAGTGAATGCTCAAAAATGATTTCTGGCTAGGGAACATATTTTTTAAAAAGTTTTGAAATTACTGGTCCATATAATTTCAAGAAATTCAACATGAATCTAGACTTCATTAAAATCTGTGGTTTCCAGCCACAGTTTCTATGTCAGAGCTCACTCTACCCTTAAAGAGCCATTTATTTTATTGGAAGTCTAAAAGATTTTCCTACTTTATTTTATTGACATATTTATTACTTTAAATAAAATGGGGAACAGAAAGCATGAAAAGAGTTGGGAGAAGGAACAGGTGCTGCCTGAGATGGTCATTTATCCAAAACAAAATGTCCCTGCCTTCCCTTGCCATCCCCAACCCCACACCACTCAGGCACCCTCTGTTATGTTGGTCCTTCTCCCCAAAAAGACTTCCCAAACCTAGCCCAGAAGGCCCTCCTGACATCAGGGATTTCCAGCTGGGGCCATCATCTTACCTAAACAGCTTTTGGGAAGCCAGGAAAGTGATTAGCTAACATTTCCTCCCAAGTGGAGAGTTCTGTCACTTATATGTGGTAGAGCTGGGGCTCAAATCTGGGTCTCCGACTCCAAATCCATTAGCTCGGGAAGCTACCACAACAGAGCTGTTTCTTCAAGTACAAAAACATCCAACCTCATTTTTACATATGAAGATGTAAAAATTAATAAACAGAAACCTCAATTAAGATAGAATCAGAAGGCCAGAAGGGGGAGGTCTCAGGTCCTAGGAGGACAGCAGAGCCCAACAGCAAGAGGAAAGTCTCTTCTTTCCTGCAAAGAGCTCAGACTGTCACAACTCAGCCAATGAAAAGCCATGGACTCTGTTTACTCTAGCCCTCCCAACTTCCTTTTTCCCTCTTTGAAAGAATTCTCCTTCCCTCGCTATGCACTACGCAGGGACTAGCACATGACTCGCTATGGTTGCAGACCCTGAATTGCTATTTTCTGTTGAACCTGAATAAACCCATTTTTGCTGGAGAAATAACTGGCAGTCTACTTGTTTTAGGTCAACAAAGATTCAAAACAATTGTGTTCATTCCACAAATATTTATTATGGGTCTTTTTAATGTCTGTCCCAACCAATCGACCAATCAATTTAATTTGAGGCCAGAACAGAAAGGTAGGCTAGAAGTCAAAGCTAAGAAGGGCTCTACAAAGCAATCCACTGCTCACATGTCCACTCTCCTTAGTATGGCAGAAAGACCTTCCAGACCTGAGGCATGTGCCACTCCAGCCTTATATCCTACTGTGAACCTCGCACTTGAGTTTTTGTTGATTTCTTTTGTTGTTATTTCTTTTGTTGTTATTGCTGAGGAGGGCAGGAAGAACAAAGAATTTTACCATTACTAGAATCTCTTTTACATAAACCTCTTCTATCTAAAACAAGCCAATAACAGGAGACAGCTCTGGCCTAAATACAGTTTTAGGAGTACTAAGTAACAGGTAGTAGTGAAAGTTATAGGACTAAATGAGAGAACAGCCAGAAAGAATTATAGAATTAAAAGAAAAAGGGCAGCAGCTAACACAACAATGTAAAGCAATTATACTCCAATAAAGATGTTAAAAAGAAAAAAGAAAAAGGGACCACAGAGAGAGGCAGAGGGAACCAGCTTTTGAAAGAGGTTGTAGATGAAGAAGAGTTAGCAAAGGAGACTAAGAAGGGATAGTCAGAGAGCAGGGAGGAAATGGTGAGACAGGAGACTGCCTTTTCATTTACAGGATGAAGGTCATTATATTAATAATGCTAAGTATTAATAACCTTTAATAATATTTAATGAGCACATTTGTTCTAAGTACTATGCTAAGCACACCACATACATGATATTCATTTCATTCTAATAATTATTTATTATCATTTAATAGCTGGGGATACGGAGGCTTTGAGAGGTCAAGTAGTTTGCCCACAGTTGCCCAGCATAGGTATTAAGTGGCAGAGCTGAAAGTCAAACCTAGGCAGTCTGAAATCACAGCCCAACCTCTGGACAACTAGGCCACACAAAAAGTTTCCTCACTGGTATGCATACATACATGCAAATGGAAATACTTCACACTAAAGAAACTACTTAAAGTTCCTTAGCATTCTTATGAAATACTTGTAGTGTTGTTATGTGAGAAGGAACTTGGTCAATTAGGTCAATTGTTCTCAAGCTTTTTCAGTGCAAAGGGCTATTCTGACCTGGCCAAAAACCCCCAAAAGCAACAACAAACTCACAGAAAACTTTACAGCTTGTCTTAAAAAAATCTTCCTGACAGCAGAGTGCTGTTTTTGATCAAGTCATTTTTGAGCTGATGTCTGTTTTCCATGAAGTATCATATGCAAGTGAGTAACTCATACCAGAAATAAAAATACAGACATGGTTTTCTAATAATAGAATAGAATGGTTTGTATATTACCAGACACCTACACATCACATTTGATTATTCCTGTCCTCATAAATCACAAAATGTTAGGGAGAGACAGGATCTTAGAAATAATTCATTCCAAATCCTCATATGCCAGATGAGAAACCAAGGCTCAGAGAGATGAAATGTATTTTCTATGCTGATGCAGAGCCAGGTCTTGAATACAATTTTCCCTCTTTCCCAATCCAATGTTCTTTCAAAAAGCATGTGGCAAATATTATAATTTCCCATGTATAATTTGGGAAACTCATTTTGAAGTAAAGGGGTTCCCTAATAGTTCCAGAGGGCAGAACTGAATGAAACTGACTCCTCCTAAAACCAAGTTCCCTTGCAGAGTTTATGATTAACCTCTCTATCCAAAACATTATTCCCTTTCTTGTCCCACCATGTTCTCCTCAGGAATTGAGGAGTGTCAAAGAAAAGGGGGGACTGAAACCGAGTAAGACCCTGCGGGGCCTACCCAGGTATAAGACCCTTCCTGTCCCCCACTTCTTGTTTGGCCTTCCAAAGAGCAAACTCAAGTAGTTAATGATTAGAACAATAGAGTCACAGGACTCCTAGTTCCTCCTGAATGAATATAGACAACAATTGGACTCATATCTTTGAGTTGTTCTGAAGAAACTAAGACCCCTGCACTCAGTGGAGGATGGTGACTATATGCTGACCACAAGCACATAGACCCCAGATTAGAACCAGAAGTTTGATGATTAAGATTCCCAAAACAAGGACTTCCCTGGTGGCGCAGTGGTTAAGGATCCGTCTGCCAATGCAGGGGACACAGGTTTGATCCCTGGTCCGGGAACATCTCTGTGCGCCTGTGCGCCACACTACTGAGCCTGTGCTCTAGAGCCCGCGAGCCACAACTACTGAGCCAGCACACCACAACTACTGAAGCCCACGCGCCTACAGCCCGTGCTCCGTGACAAGAGAAACCACCGCAATGAGAAAGCCCGCGCACAGCAAGAAGACCCAAAGCAGCCAAAAAAAAAAAAAAGATTCCCAAAACATCACCCTATGACCATACCACCAACCAATTAGAAAAATGTCCATGAGCTGATCGTGCACCCTGAGACCCTCACCCCTACTGTGGCCTTTAAAAACCCTTGCCTGAAAGCCATTGGCAAGTTCACAGTCATCAGCGATGGCAGCTACCACCTGATGGTGAGCTGGTGAGCCCTGAGGGAACTCAGAAGGGAAAGAATACCTGCCACCTAGCAGTCATCAGACTGCAGCCACTCCCTACCGTGAGCCCTGAGGAAACTCAGGATGTGAACATACAGGATACTGGCCCCAGATAGCTGAGGTGCATATCAAAGGAATGATTTCAGTGAGCCCAGACTCTTGCATCTTCCCATATATAGAAAAGCGCTAAATTCCTTAACTTGACATATCTGGTTTCTTTAATTAACAGTAATCTTTTGATGTTCCCGACTACCTGCCCTTTGTTGCAAAACTCCTATATATTCTGGCTCCTCCCTCGCCCCCTCGGAGCAGTTTCTCAGAGCTATCTGAAATGCTGTCTCCCAGGCTGCAGTCTTCATTTTGCCCCAAATAAAACTTAACTCACAACTCTGACGTTGTGCATTTTTTAGGCCAACAAGGTCTTTTGAGAACTAGCTGCCTGTTCTCTTTGCCTGGCGCCCTGCAATAAACACTGTATTTTCCTTC